GACTGAACAGACAGGACAGACACTGACACAGACTGAACAGACAGGACAGACACTGACACAGACTGAACAGACAGGACAGACACTGACACAGACTGTACAGACTGGACATACACTAACACAGATTGTATACTTTAACCTTTTAAAGATTAATTTAGATTAGTCTTTAGATTCAAGAGAGAGCACAGAGACCCAAGACAGAATGACAAAACTTTTCTTTTAATTACTACAGCCTGCAGGAGAATTAGTACTTCTCTGAAAATGTTAAAATAATGAAAGTTACATCTAGCTATCTTCAGGAGGGTTTATGAAATGTTTTCCATGTGGAGAAGATGAGGGATTCAGGGAGTATTCCCAGTGTCCGTAGTCAGCTCCCTCTGGCTGAAGTCTTGCCTATTCACTCTTGCGTGAGGCACATGAGGACTCATGTGTGCAGTACACCCCAGATCATCTGATCCATGTCCTGTCACATTCCTAACCCCTCCTCTTAAGGACGCTCCAGCCCTTCCTAGTGTCACGATTGTAGTCCCTCCTCCTTAAGGGCGCTCCGGCTCTTGTTTGTCTTATTCCACGCACCTGCCCCTTGTTCCAGTCTCCTTCCTGTCCCCCTTTAAAAGCCAGACGCAGTCGCCAACCGAGGCTCTGCATCTGATTTCCACATCGTAGGCCAGCAGCCATGTCACCCTGCAACTCACAGCTGGCAACCCACTGAAGCTCAGCAGGTGTGAGCCTGGTCAGTACCTGGATGGGAGACCTCCTGGGAAAAACTAAGGTTGCTGCTGGAAGTCGTGTTAGTGGGGCCAGCAGGGGGCGCTCACCTTGGGGTCCATGTGGGTCCTAATGCCCCAGTATAGCGACGGGGACACTATACTGTAAACAGGCACCGTGCTTCGGATGAGACGTAAAACCGAGGTCCTGACTCTCTGTGGTCATTAAAAATCCCAGCTTCCTGGTCACAATTTCCCATTGGCCCTTACCAATCATGGCCTCCTAATAATCCCCCTCTTTGAACTGGCTACATTACTCTGCTCTCCTCCCCACTGAGAGCTGGTGTGTGGGGTGTGTACTGGCGCACTATGGCTGCCGTCGCATCATCCAGGTGGGGCTGCACATTGGTGGTGGTGGGGGGGAGTCCCCATTACCTGTAAAGTGCTTTGAGTGGAGTGTCCATAAGCGCTATATAAGTGTAAGCAATTATTATTATTATTATTATTATCGTGCGAGCCCGGGACCTGAATTCGTCTGGATTCTATGCTTTTAGCTTCCTGCCCCTGTTCCTGTTCCCCCCGCCGGTCCCGACCCGGTCCCTGTTTTTAATCCCTTGTTTTGGATGGATTACCCGGCCATGGACTTCTGCTTGTTTTTTGGATTCTCCCTTGGACTTATTCTTTGGATTGTTTGTCTCGGCCACACCTCCCCGGATCACCAGCACTGCATCGACACGCCCCCGTTTTCATCCTCGTATTCCTGCATGACTTTTTTCCCGGTGTTTCCTCGCTATTCCGGATTGTATCGTCCACATAGGGTCCGGAAAGACCCGTTCGTTACACCTAGTTTGTTACTCATCTCCCGCACCTGCTCCCTGGTCCAGCCCCTCTTCAGTTCCCCCTTAAAAGCCAGACGCCGACGCTATTCCGGTCTCTGCTCTGGTTTCCATACCTGGAAGCGCCTGGTCCCGTTAACGTTTTAGTTCCCGTTCCCGTTCCCGTGCCGGTTCTGACCCGGTTCCCGTTTTTAAATCTTGTTTGTCTTGGATGGACCGCCCGGTTTTGGACTTTTGCCTCTGTTTGGATTCTCCCTTGGACTTCTTCCTGGATTGTTTGCCTCGCCCACAGCTTCCCCGAACACCAGCGCCCCCATGGACGCGCCCCCTGTTTTCATTCCCGACTCCCGCATGCTGTTTTCCCCACTCATCCCCGGATTGTGTCGTCTGCGTAGGGTCCTGAAAGAGCGCTTTTGTTACATGTCCACCAATAAACACCAGACCAGTCCTAGGGTGTTGGAGCTGTACCAGGATTTAATACAGACATGTGGTTTTCATCACAGGAAGTGACCCCAGAGACAGTGGGCTGGCTCACATGAGAGACAAAACAGCCTCACAGCTGAGTGCACAGGAAACCCGCTGAAACTCCGCAACTTCAGGAAAGAGAAAAAGATGTCAGGTCAAGCACAAGGAATCAGAGAGAAAATGTACTGTAGGGAAACACAATGGAATAGGAAAACACTATATGATAGGCAAGAAAGATAAATGAAAAGATGTTATAAAGGATAAAGAAAAAAAAAACAATAGTATTCTAAGTAGTTCTTATCATAAGTAATTAGACATAGTAATGATCAGTTTTAAGCCCAATTCTCCCCCCCGCAGGATGACTTGGAGAGGCTGTGATGAAGTGTCATGGGATCAGGGGAGAGGGCTCACAAGTCACTGAGCGGATCTGCTCCCTCGTCAGGGCCCTGTGATCTCACCTGCGTCATTGACGGGGCTGCAGGTCGGGTTTATTAGGAGTGTTCAGTCTCGACGGCACTAGATTACCTTCCCACAGACTACCGCATGTCTCTGGGTGTGTGTGAAAGGGTAAGGGTTAGGTGTAGGGGTATTACCCCTAGATCTGTCCCTAGAATGCAGAGAACATCGCGTCACGGCTCTGTCCCCAGCCCCAGTTCATTCTCCGACATACTCTCCAGACTGGAGCGTGTGCAGAGTGAACAGATCTCAGGAGCTCGGAAACTCACAGAACGTACGAGTGCGTTCAATCTGTGTGGCTGCAGAGTGCTGGCGGTGCTCCCTGCCAGCGGTCCCACGGTCGGATTAGACACCAGCCCTGTTAAGAGCCACCCATTCAACACATCAATCAAGCGATCAATCCCTCAGCTCCCTGTCACCACTGCGATTGAATGATGCCCTGAGAGAGTGGCGTTCCCTTGGCTCAGCACCGGACCCTCCGTCAAAGGGGACCCCTCTCAAAGGCAATGTCTCATGCTGTGTCTCCTCTCCATCAGCTCCCCCGTCTCTGCGGCTCTCTGTGAACGAGACCCTGGTGGTGGACCCCGGGACCGACGTCACCATGTCGTGTGACGTGACCGGGGGCGAGCCCGTGCCGACTGTGCTGTGGTCCCGGTTCCCGGCCCCCCTGCCTCCCTGGGCTCAGGCCCGGGGCAGCACCCTGAGCCTGCGCAGGGTCACGCCCCGAGACGCCGGCTTCTACAGCTGCACTGCGGTCAACAACGTGGGCAACCCCGCCAAGAGGACGGTCAACCTCATCGTGAGAGGTGAGAGAGAGGACAGAGAGAAGCTCTCTGGATGTGAGCTTGAGAGAGGGGAACAGAGGGAGAGAGGACAGTGGGAGACAGGAGGAGATACCTTGGACTGACAACCAGTTCATCTGGGACTACTGACTTGGCAGTGATGGCACTGAAGGAGAAGACACTGAGGGCTTTTTATGCCATTAGAAGGAGGCTCGACAACATCAACCTCCCATAACAATCTGGGTGTGAATATTGAAAGTGTAACCTAACCCATTGCTCTTTATGGCAGTGAAGTGTGGGGTCAGACCAGGATGACACTCAATGGGACAAGCACCCCATGGAAGTCCTGCGTACAGAGTTCAGTAAAGCCATTCTCTATGTTCAAAGAAAAACTCCCAAAAGTTGTAGGGTTGAATTAGCCCAATTCCCATTGCTAATCAATTTACAGAAGAGAGTAATCAAATATTGGTTAGACCTGAAAAACAGTGCCAAAAACACTTACCACCCCAAAGCCCTTCTGAGCCCAGAGAAGAGCCCCCTCAGCCAGCTGGTCCTGAGGCTCACTGACGCCAACCAGCCTCAGGACAGCACTGCTAGAGCAACACGAATTAAAATCAACCAACACACACTAGTTGAGTATTTGACCAGGGTAAGAGACAGCGTAGAGAAGGAGACCCTGACAAAGCAGAAGCACAGTGACCACAGCCTGTTCATAAAAACTGAACACAGGCAGACCTGGCTGTCCAGAGAGGACAGACTGTGCTCCCACCTCCAGCTACTGCCAAAGAGACACTGTGAGAAATACTC